CGGGGGGGGGCCCCGCCGGAGGTGAGAGTGAGGGTGAGTTCGAAAAGTACTTGCAAGACGTGCTCTTTACGTTGTGAGATTATTGGAACGTGAATTGAAATGAAAAAAGCTAAAGAATCTGTTGAAATCTTCGTCTATTGATTTGCAAAAGAAATGATAGTTTCACTACTTTGCGCTTATCTCTTGACTTGTGGCACTAGTTTTTATTACAGGCTAGGCCTTTCATATATCATCACATGTTTGTCACGTTGCCTTCGCCATTCTTCGCGTGGACAATATACATATTCATTTTCCTTTCTTTCATTCTCGACCGGTTTGGATATGTATATCACTGTTCTCGCCAAGTTTTTTCGCCACTGTTCATTCATTTTCTTTTTTTGTATTGTTCGTGATCGTATATATACAGTTATCGCACAGAGAATTAAATATTCGATAGAACTTTTCATCCATCGTATATTAGTGTGCAGTTGTGTTTTTATATAGAGTGAAATAAAACCGGTAAAACGAGAGTGTGTTATTGATCACATTTGGTCAGAGAGGGTGTTGGCTCTTACATTGGTGCCGTGACCACTTCTTCATTATTATACATTGAAGAAGAAGAACCGGCCAACAATAAAGAAAAAATAGCACACAATCGTTGTAGAAACTAATAATATCGAATCGAACTATCATTACACAATTAGCAAACTTCGGTATCGGTTAGTAGTTTTACAAAATTTTCTGAAAAGAGGAGAGATCTGAAAGGATTTACTCCGTGGCTTTCTTTATGCTTATATTTTTTTAGGTATTTCGAAGGAGAGATCTGTGTATAACGGTCTTACTCTGTTTTTTTCTGAGAAAAAAATCTTTGCATTCAATACGAGTAGCGAAAGATTCGTGGAAACTGCTCGGCCTTGTCCATTATCATTGGATTCATCAAAACAGGAGAGATTCACTGTATGGATTTACTCTGTGACTATTTATACACTAGAACAGGAGCGATTCAGTTTTGATTGGACTGGTCCGTACTCGATATTAATCATTTCCTTCGTCGTTCGTAATCATACCGTCACCAACTCTAACGCCGTTACAGCATACAAGAAGTCATAAGAAATCTGCAGCATTAAACAGAGGTGATTCAATATACAATCCGCAAAAGTACAAAGCACAGGCGCAAACAACAGCACGGTCGTTTTCCCTACAACTGGACTCAGATATTAATACAACAATATCATCTTCTAGTCCAATATCACCGCAGAAAGAGAACCGTACAATGACGCACAGACTAGATCCGGTATTGATGGAATGTTATAAGGATGGATTGAGCCATATAGGTACATTTGACGGTAATGAGTCAACAAAAGTAGAGCAATTTTTAGCACAAATTGAACGAATTGGTAATCTCATTGAAGCACAACCAAACGTATTATATTCAATGACGAAAGCAAAATTGGTGGGTGAAGCGGCTAATTGGTTTACAGCAAATCAAGCAACATTGACAGAATGGGAAGAATTAAAAGCCCAGATGTTGACACGTTTCAAACCAGTTACTTCTTCATCACAACTGTTCGAAAAACTAACCAAAAGACGACAAGGACCAGATGAATCAATCATTACTTATTACGATTCTGTTATCAAACTATGTCGTGAATATGACCCTTCAATGTCAGACAAAATGAAAATTTCATGTTTAGAAAAGGGTTTGAAAGACGAATTGAAAATACAAGTGAAGCGACAAATGAAAGCATTAACAGAACAGATACCACACGCATTTTTACAAATAGCAAAAGCGGAAGCTGAATTACTGTCCCAAGTACAACTACCATCTGAAATAACACAGTCGTATTTTATTCCATCCACGATATCAACAATTACACGACCTGCGTTTGGCGGACAATCTCCACGACCACATTTATTTCGATCAAGAGAACCACGATATTATTCGAATCAAACTACACAACGAGTACCACAATCACCATTTAATCGGAGTCAGGGTCTCCTAAGAAATAAATATGCACAACTGCAACCACGTCCGATATCATCTACAACAAACTCACAATCACAACAACAGACGCCAGCATTAGCTAAACCAGAACAGATCGTACGAAATGCAACACAAGAAGTTTTTCAAACTTCAATGGAAAATCGCAACGCACAGCAATTAGCATTGAGAGGACAGCAGTCGAAAGTAAGAATACAATGTCGTCCATGTAAAATTTGTGATCGTACGAATCATCGAATGATTGATTGTTTTTACAAAAAACAATCCGGCTGTTTTAAGTGTGGAAACCCTGAACATTTCGTTCAGGCTTGTCCACGGGTTTTCGAATAACTGGAGTACAAGATGGCGGTACTCCCAGTAAACAACGGCCATCAGTATCATCGACATTAGCATCGCCAACTTCGACAAGCCCCGTAGTCATCCAAATACAAGTAAATAATAAGTCACAAAATGCAATCGTCGACACTGGGAGTCCATTCACTACAATTCACAAAAATTTCCTGAAGCGAATTTATCACAAAAAATTCATTTATAAACATATATCGTATTCATCCGCTAATTCATCGTCTATTAATATAATCTGTCAAGTCGAATTGGAGATCAAAATAAATGGTGAAAAAACGTTTATCACAGCCGATGTTGCATCGAACCTAGTCACTGAAATATTGCTCGGAAAAGACTGGATGGCGAAATATAAAATTTTAATTGACAATGGAGAAAAACAGGTGATAATGCCGAGGAAAAATAAACAGTCAATTAGAACACCATTTATTGAACAACCTGATATCCATTATCCTGTATATTTAACAGATCAGATCACCATACCACCTTTTTCCGAAAAACTCATCGATGCAACAACACAAATTAATACTACGAATAATCTCATGTTTGAACCGACAACAAACCTTCATCGAAAAGGGTTTATTCACCGCCAGTGCATTACTGAATGTAAAAAAACATGCAACAAAAGTACTAATAATCAATGCAAATAATCGTCAATTTACTTTATCGAAACATACAAAATTGGGTACAATAGCGTTCCAGACTGAACCAACAATCTGTTACACAATTGCATCAAAACCAGTAAAAGGGAATGTTCGTTTTCGAACGGACAAATCCCGTGAATTCCAATCGAAAATCCCAATTCATCAGTGTTATGTATGTCAGAAAAATTTTCTATCCAGAAATGATTTACACGTACATCTCCGTCACCAATGTTGTCCAACAGAAATTCGTGAACATATTGATACGATGACGAAGCATATCGAAAACGAGGATCAACGTGAACAATTGCAAGGTATACTATGGAAATACGGGCGCTTATTTGATATCACATAACCATCAGTGATAAATTACACCTTGGAAGGTGCCATAAATACGGGTGATCATGCTCCTATTCACATACCACCGTATAGGCAATCGGGAAAAGATCAACAACGTATACAAGATGGAACGGATAAATTATTGAAACAAGGTATTATTGAACCATCGACATCCCCGTGGTCCAGTCCAGTCGTACTGGTGAAGAAAAAGGATGGTTCGATCCGTTTTTGCATTGGTTATCGCCGTATAAATGAAGTTACAACAAAAGACTGTTTTCGTTACCCAAAATTGATGAAATCTTTGATCAGTTAGCCGAATCGGCATATTTTACCAAGGTTGATTTTAAATCTGGATACTTTCAAATTCCGTTACATCCAAATGATCGTCCAAAAACTGCATTTAGCACCCGGGATAATCATTATCAATTTACAGTACTTCCTCAAGGTTTCACTAACGGTCCACCGTCATTTCAACGCATCATCAATCAAGCTCTGGGTCCAGCTCGTTGGAAGTATGCTTTAGCATACATAGATGACATAATCATTTATTCTAAAACATTTGATGATCATTTGGTACATTTAGAACAAATGTTCGGTTCATTGAATCAACAGAATTTCCGTCTAAATGTGGGAAAATCAGAAATCGCAAAGAGGGAAATTGGATTTTTGGGTCATCAAGTCAAGGAAGGAAACATTAAACCCAATCCGGAGAATATTCGAGCATTGATGGAAACACAAATACCGACAACAGAAGAAGAGGCGTGTAGATTTCTTAAGGGTGCCGAATATTATCGTAAATTTATCCGTGGTTTTTCTAGTATTGCCGATCCATTGTACAAATATGTACCAAAGAAAAAACAGGGAAGATCAAAACAAACCTCGGTCACACTGTCAGAAAATGTGAACGATGGCGACTGAAATTTCAACAATATCGTATGACAATTACACATATTATAGGGCATGATAACACCATGCCAGACTATTTATCTCGATCTCCCGTGGATGATCCTACAGAAGATCTAGATGATTATGTACAACGAATATCACGCGAAACACAAACGGATAATAATAATCAAGTACCAGTAACAAAACAATCAATTATTGCAGCAGTTACCACTCGATTACAAGGAAAACAAGGAAAAAGAGATAATGATGATCAGGCGGATGCCGGCACGTCGGACAACCCTGTTATGTGTCCAAACAAAGAGGCTGTTCAATCAAAGGACAAACCTCGTACGGATGCGAATACACAGGTTTTACATGAACTTGATCATTACCGTATTATTCCTTTTACGCATGATGATATTAGGCAACAACAACTGTCTGATCCGACTTTACAACAAATCCTGAATAATTTGGAAAAGGAAAAACATAAGAATTACATCATGCGAAGACAACAATTAAAATTGGTACCAGTCGTTCCCAAAGGTAAAATACGAAAAAGTATCATGCAAATATATCACGATACCCCAGCAAATGATTCACATTTCGGTCGCGATCGTACGTTGAAAACAATAGGGGAACGGTATTATTGGCCCACAATGAATAAGGATATCAGAAATTACGTACGATCATGCTTAAAATGCCGCCAAAATAATCACAACAGGAGAAAGCCGGATGGTCATTTAAAACCAATTTCACCACCAGAAGGAGTATTTGAATTATTAAGTATGGATTTTCATGGGCCCATTACTCCGCTATCGAAAAATCAAAACAAATATATCATTACTATCACCGATAATCTGTCTAAGTTCGTTATTGGGAAAGCTGTACGTGATTGCACTGCTCCAACAGCAGCAAAATTTCTTCGTGATGAAGTAATATTAAAATATGGTACGCCAAAAGCCATTTTATCTGATAATGGAAGTCATTTTACTGCATCCATGATGAATGAATTATTCACACAGTTCGGTATTATTCATCTGTATTCCACGCCTTATCATCCACAGACAAATGCATGCATTGAACGTTTCAATGCAAAATCGCCTCATTATGTAATGAGAAACGTACAGACTGGGATGAACAGCTTCCATTTGTCATTTTTAATTACAATACGTCTGTTCATTCTACAACAAAAGTCAAACCGTTCCAAATGGTATATGGGCGTGAACCCAAAATGCCGTTTGACCATCAACACCCACTGGTCTCAATCCAGCAAGATCCGGATCATCTTGGCAAATTGAACACTTATATACCCGGCATTGTGGAAGAAGCAAAAAAGAATATTGTCAAACAACAACAAAATTCTGAAAATCGGTACAATCAGAATCGTTCAAATCCGCAATATAAAATCGGCGACTTAGTCCTTATTAAAACAACACATGTCCGACACAAGTTTGATATACGCAACGAAGGTCCGTTTAGAATCACACAAAAAACCTACGTCGTACAACATGTCAAACGATTGGACATGAAACGACAAGTCACAACGGATGTTATTATACCACTATCTGAGCGCCCGAAATTTGATCTTAAAGACTAAAAGATGATCTGCCAAACCGATAAAAAATGCATTCATGATCATTATTTTATTATCGATTCATCCATATAATTCAGCAATGCTTGTCGGGGTGACAGATGTCCCCTTCACACTGGCAAGAGGGGTTGTTATGTTTATGCTTCCTTAGTATTAATAAATACTTGAAATGTTTATCAGAATTTCTGTAGTTCATCGAGACTCTGTAATCTGATTTGCTTTCATGTGCTATACAGACGTCCGAAATGGACGAATCTACCAGTCTTCTTACCCTTGATAACAAAACCTGATTGGGGGCAACGTTTGGCCTAGTTCGTCGAAACAACGCTTACAACTCCCTTCGGTCGTTGTTCGCTAAGGACTATCTACCATGCGTTATGAATACTTCTTTGATATGATGTGTAAAGTAGCTTCCGTCTATAGAAGTTTTCTCCAGAGCACCCAAAGAACTCCCGAGGTTTACAAACACTTCTGAATTCCAGACAACGTCTCTGTAACTTGATGTGGTTTTATCTGACCCCCAAAGAACCCCAGAGGTCTAACAGTATTTCGAAATTCTAGACAATGCTCACGCGTCCCTTCCGTCCGCGCTCCCAGCTAGGACAGGTGTTACAGGCCCCTGATTCCAGAGAAAACGTGAGCGCATCTCCCCATGTGGATCATTGTCTATAACACTCAATCGTGCTTCTGTGTATGTACGTCCGTCACACTTGCTGGTGACTATATGTATGTACGTCCGTCACACTGCCACATCACTATATGTATGTACGTCCGTCCCCGTGTGTGCTTACGTCCGCCACGCCTCTGTACGGACAAACACACAAACACACACACAAACACTTTGTACCTTTTCGTATGACCAACTTTTTTTCGTACGACCCTAGACTTACAGTCAATGGAATAATCCCGACACTTAATTCACTCGACCTACAGGCAATGGGGTTAGTGAATCGATGCGACTCACTCTATTCACGTTATTTATTTATTCAAGTGGCTGTAAGTCTACAGCCATTCTGAATTCCACACAATGCTCACGCCTCCCTTCGGTCCGCGCTCGCAGCCAGGACCACTATTATACTTCTCTCCTACCACAGAAAACTCGAACGCATCGACCTATGTGCACCTATGTCCACCACACTCGTCAGTGACTATACGTATGTACGTCCGTCACACTGCCACATGACCATATGTATGTACGTCCGTCACACTGCCACATGACCATATGTATGTACGTCCGTCACACTGCCACATGACCATATGTATGTACGTCCGTCACACTGCCACATGACTATATGTATGTACGTCCGTCACACTGCCACATGACTATATGTATGTACGTCCGTCACACTGCCACATGACTGTATGTATGTACGTCCGTCACACTGCCACATGACTATATGTATGTACGTCCGTCACACTGCCACATGACTATATGTATGTACGTCCGTCACACTGCCACATGACCATATGTATGTACGTCCGTCACACTGCCACATGACTATATGTATGTACGTCCGTCACACTGTCACATGACTATATGTATGTACGTCCGTCACACTGCCACATCACTATATGTATGTACGTCCGTCCCCGTGTGTGCTTACGTCCGTCACGCCTCTGTACGGACAAACACACAAACACTTTGTACCTTTTCGTATGACCCTAGACTTACAGTCAATGGAATAACCCCGACACTTAATTCACTCGACCTACAGGCAATGGAGTTAGTGAATCGATGCGACTTACTCTATTCACGTTATTTATATATTCAAGTGGCTGAAAGTCTACAACAATTCTGAATTCCACACAATGCTCACGCCTCCCTTCGGTCCGCGCTCGCAGCCAGGACCACTGTTATACTTCTCTCCTACCACAGAAAACTCGAACGCATCGACCTATGTGCACCTATGTCCACCACACTCGTCAGTGACTATACGTATGTACGTCCGTCACACTGCCACATGACTATATGTATGTACGTCCGTCACACTGCCACATGACCATATGTATGTACGTCCGTCACACTGCCACATGACCATATGTATGTACGTCCGTCACACTGCCACATGACAATATGTATGTAAGTCATTCACTCGAACC